TATAATGATGATTATGCCAATACTTTTGAAGTTGTGATTCCTGGCATAGTAAACTATTTGAGCAACTGATTCTAAATCACAAATACCTGTCCACTTCAGCTCAGTCATGCCCAAGATATTGCTCTTTATATCTTTATACATTCTATTTTATTTTTGACAGTTATCAATTTTCCCAGGTTCATAGATTTTTACATTCTACATTTCAGTAATTAGTTGCAGCTGTTTCCTACCATTTTGAGTCATGCCTCAACAGTAAATGAAAGCCTCAAGTTTTGCTCCATCAAATTTATAAAATTCAACTCTGTTTTTAGTAAGCAGCTTTCCCATAGTCATATTCTTAGTACCTTCCAACTTGCGGGCCACTGGTTTTGGCACTATATTAGACAATATTCTACTGCTATTCATAAGGGTTTCAGTGACTAATCCCCCAGAAGTGGATCTCCTACTCCTTCTTCTTAACTTGTCCTTGGTCTGGAACCCTGCTGAAACCTGTCCAGCAAGCATGACCACATTATGTGAAATCCAGGTGGCATAAGTTCTAACAGCTCAGCAACATGAAAGACAACACAGAATGAAAAGGTAACAAATGAATTGTGGCCTGATTAACTAGAGAGCTGTGAACTTCAACAAAATAAATTTAAACTCTTAGGAAAATTATAGAGTTTTGAATTAGATTATAATGTTTGTATTTTCATATGAAATAATAATAAAGTGATGATATTAGAAGTTCTACAGAACTTCAAAATTTTAAATAAATATATATATATTATTTTTTCTAACTATCTATAGCAAAACTTAGTAGTCATAAGAATTATTATCAGTGATATTCTCCAGAACAAAGGTGTGGTCTCTACAAAGAGAATGGTGCAAAAGGAAGTATGTATTTTCCCAGAAGTATTCATAAGCACAATTGAATTTCAACTGAACTGTATTAACTTATCATTGTGTATATTTTTAAAAGTCAAAGAGCCATTTGTATTTTATACTAATGGTTTTATGTTTATTAACTTATAAAACTTGCATCACTTTCTATTATGCTTGCTTTCCACTCTTCCCTGCAGATTGGAATCACCTGGGAAGCTTTGAAATCTAATACCTGGATACCTCACCCCATTAAAATATTTTACTTGACTATTATGAAGTGTGATTTAGGGTTTGAAGAATTTAAATACTCCCTCAACAATAATGTTTTAATGTGCAGAATTGTTCAGGAATCAGTGATACCACTGTTTTCCAATTTTCTTGAATAAAAGTCATCAAGGATGATAATTCTCGAATCATTTAAATATTCACAAATTGCACTATATGAGATTTCAATGAGAAGCTCAAGGGTGGTATTCTTTGACTGTAACTTTAAACAATCAAATAGTTCAGGTGTATTTGTTATAGGACATGAAATATGGTTCTTTTCCCAGTACAAGTATGTTAGCAGGCACCCAGTCAATTAAATAAATGAATGAAATCAATTTGAAAATATAGTGTTGAAGTTTCGATCCCTAATCCTAAAATTCCTACGGGTTGTTGTAATGTTGTACTAGAGTTAAAAACCGCTAGTCTACTGTTTCAATAAGGAATCATGATAAGAACCTGCAACTTAGAATTAAAGATCAGTCTAAGATGAACAATTCATCTATTAACCAAATATTTTGAAACTAATCATTGAATCTCACTCAATTGTGTGCTGCATGAATTTAATAATGACAGACTTGATTGTTATGACCGTTATCAGAATTAATGAGTAAAAGTATTAAGATGACTAAACATGGTATAGAATTGCATATTTTTCAAAAACAACACCACCACTACAACAGATCTCAGGTCACATGATTTCTGCAGCCAGTTACTCAAGCAATCTATTTTTGCTTTACATATCGTGAGTGCACTCAGGAAAACTCCATCAATGTTGCTGATGTCAATGAATATTATTTATCTCCTTCAAGCAAATATCCCTCTTTACCACCCCAGCTTCCTTTGATGTCTTTCTTACTTTACTGTCTCTTAGTATTTTGCACATTCCTCTCAAAGTGAAATATTCCATGGTGTGATAGGGAAATTTGCCTTTTCTGCATTCATTCTCCTTCAAAAACATCTAATCCATTTGTACAGCTTAAAATATTATGTTTAAGAGGGCTTCAAAAATTCACAGAACATTTTCATGATCTTTCAAATAGATTTTTCCATGAACCTTTGAAGCCTCCTCATGTTGTTTATTGTTTTTGCGGCTGTTGAATTCTGTCCAGTCTGTTCTGACTTATATCGATCTGATGCATAAGAGAACACTCTCAGGTCCCACGCCAGCCTCAGAATGGTTCTTTTGTTTGAGCCCATTTTATATGCCAGCAATTCTGAGTATTATTTCTACCTCTGTGTAACTTTAATATATGCTCAAAATTGAAGAAGAATCCAATCTAGAACTGACTCTCACTTCCCTATTCAAACTGTGCAGATATTTAGCTCAGGTATAATATGGTAAATTGCCTTTCCGATTCTTGTTGGCGAGAAACTTTTGAGATTCCTCTGGGTTGAGGATGGGGGTCAGGGGTGCTTTGTCTCCTTGAGGTAAACTAACTCTTACTTTATTTGACTGCAGCTATGTCCTTGGTAGTCTTGGTCTCATGGAGTTTGACGACAATTGTCAACATGACCAACACAGGTATACAGTGAACCCTCACCACTTCGCGCTTCACTTCCGTGGCTTCACTCTATCGCGGTTTTTGCGTAACAGCGCATGCTCTGTCATTACTGCCACTGATTGGCTCATACTGTACACGCTTCTGTCTGCATTGCTACGTATCGGAGCTACGTATCAGATGCATTTTTGCTTTTGTACAGTGAACTCAAATTGTTTGCGATTTTTAAAAAATTTTATCTAAGCCCTATGATGGCTCCTAAACGAGCTGCTTCTTCTAAGCCTTCTGACAATAAAAATAAGCGCCAGAGGAAGATGCTCACCATCCAGGAAAAGGTAAAACTTTTGGATATGATCAAAGATGGCAAGAAAATCGTGGAGGTTGCATGCCATTTCGACTTGAATGAGTCTTCCGTTCACTCCATCCGTTGTACTTCATAATATAATAAATAATAAATGATAATTGTAACGTCCAAAATGTTTTACTGCATTTTCCCTTTTTCATTTAATAAATTGGGTAATACGAGTGTAATGGTGACTAAAGGGTGTTTTTTCATGTCCTCTATGCTCTAACTACGAAAATATTTGGTTTACAAACAAGGAATCCTACTTCGCGGAATTTCATTTATCACGGTAGGGTCTAGAACCGATTAACCGCGATAAACGAGGGTTCACTGTATTTAATTCTGTTTAATAGTAATTTAGCTTGCTTTCCTTTCTTAGACTAAAATTAAAAACCAGTTATTAATCAATTGATTCTAACTCATGTTAACCTCATATTTGTTTGAGTAGACCTGTGCTTCATAGGCAGGTTGATACTGATTTTTTAAAGTAAACCTGCAATCCATGTACTTAGGTGTTTCTAACTGTGTGTGATTCTGCAGTCATTCAATCAAACCTGCCTCTCTTAATCACTTTGTAACAGCAACGGGAAAGTTGGACCTTGGTTCTCTTTCGAGCTATATTTTCAGAGTCGGATCCAAACTAGGCTCTCAGTAGATGTTTCTTAGGGAATAACTATAAAAAGCAAACTCACTGCCATGAAGTGAATGCTGACCCATAGCGATGCCCTTTGAGATAATAACTGTTTAAGGTAGTAGAAACTTAGAGTCTTCCTCCCGCAGAGCAGCTGGTGGTTTTGAACTACTGAACATAGGGATCACAGCCCAACACATAGCCACTATAACACCAGGGTCCCTGCGTACAGAACTATAATAAATATTATTTGTTATTATTCCTATTTTCTTCCTTACCACGCTCATCAATATTATGAAGACAAAGCTGACACCTTTCCCTTCTACTATTATCTCAACTATTTCATAACCCAAAGTCAGAAAAGAAAATCACTTTTCTCATTGAAGTAAATAACAATAACAAACAATACAGAGTGGTCCTCTAGTTCTGTCTGCAAACTAAATAAAATTTTTTGCCATTTTCTATAAGTATATAGAAAATGCATATATATATATATATATATATATATATATATATGACACAAAAATATTCATTTCTGACTTGGGAAATAGAGCTGTTTAATAACACTTCAGGATTTGTGCTGAGACCCATGAAAATCTTTCACTCCAAATTAGTAAAATTAACTCCCTGCCTTTCAGTTGATTCTAACTCATTGCAGCCCTATGGGACAGAATAGAACTGCCCCTGTGAGTTTCTGAGACTGTGAATCTGTGTTAGTTTGGGTTAGATTAGAGAAACAAATCTATAGAAATTCACATGTGTATAAGAGAGAGTTTTATATAAAGGGTAATTGTCCATTAAGAAAAGTCCTGGGATCTGCCCTGTAAAGAGTCTCACAATCACTCCGTGGCCGAGTACGCCCTTTGGGGCAGTTCCCTGTCTAGTGGACTTGCTGTGAGTGGCAGGGTCCTGCGGCATGGGACAACGCATGCGTACTTCACTTGCCAGCTGGTGTGTGGGTCGGTCCAGGGAAAGTGCCATTTTAAGGTTGATGCCGACCTGTAGATTGAAAAACAGTATCTACACACACCAATATCTAACAAGAGCCTATGTATTTCTTTTTCTTCTCTGCCACTAAGGCATTCTTTTCAAAGTAAGTCTACTGACTGCATGAACTGACATTCTTAACAGGTGAAATACCTTATTTCATGCAGCAAAAGAAGTAGAGCCAAGGGTAAGCTGAAATGGGGAAGACGGCAAAGGAAAGACACACTGCTGCTCCTTGTAAGAGAAATGGGGAATGCCCAAGAACTCATGAGGAAAAACAAAACCAAACAACCTCAAAACGGGACACTGCCTCAGGTATACAGACATGCTAGCAAGCTGACAGCGGCTAGGGCAAATTAACAAAGGAAAGGAAATACGCCCACGTGCACATGCTTTCCGCTGCTCTTACCTAGAAATGCTGCCATGTTCATCACCTGACTAAACACGCAGCTGGCAGGAGGTTCATCACCTACAATACTTGAAGAATAGGAAGGATTTTATTGTTCCTATACTAACATTGATAGCCCACCCAACTTTTATTATGATCAAACAAATCCGAAGAGAATTATCCAGTTACCTTATATACGGGGCATGCTTCACACCAGGCTTCCTGTGGAACAAAAAGCATAGCAGCATAGGTTAAAAGATGCTGATGTGTATGTGCTTCTGCCTCGCCAGTGGCCAGGTTTTGCTAAGTTTGTTGATGATCCATGAATTACTTAGAGATAAACTTTACCTTTCCTCCGAATTTAGTGGGAAAATGTTGTCATCTTCCACAGCTATAAAGTATCTATCAAGCAAAAAAAAAAAAAGTTATAAAATAAAGTAAATTTAAAAAAAATACTAACCACATTCAATCAAAAAAAAAGAAGAGAAAGCATCCCAAACCAGTCCAATCCAAGCCCAAAAGTCTATTAGCCCATATGTGTGATACCAATCTATAAAGTCCTTTTCAGACTCACAAAACACATGCAATGAATGCAAGATAATCACAGGCCAGTGGGTAGAAAGTCTTTGGATCCAATGATTTTGTAAGCATCTCAACCCTGGCGGGGGTCTCTGCATGGCTTCTCTAGTACCCAGGGCTGCATCAGGGTAGGTCCATGTGGCTTCTCCTCAGAGAGGTCTCCCAGGAAGTCAGTCTTCAGTAGATTGTCTCCCAGGGAGTGATCAGATTGAGAGAAGTGTCTCCTGCCTCCAGGGAGGAAACACCAGAGTTTCCTAGAATCCTCAGGGGAAGGCCATGCCCACAGAGGCCTCATTGACTGAGACCTGATTGACAGACTAGACTCCAACCCTTCACTCTTAATCCTCTCAAGTCTCAAATTGACACCAGATTATGTAACTACCACAGAATCTTTATGAAAGAAGAGAGTCTCATCTTTCTGCCATGGAGAAGCTGGTGATTTTGAACTATTGACCTTGTGGATAGCAGCTTAATGGATAACCCACTACATTAGCAAGACTCACATACTAATCAGTATAGTAAGTCCATGCTTACCTTGTTTATTGAGTACCTCGTCCCTATAAGGGATTGAAATGTAAAAAAGGGGCTTTGGTGCGTTGTAGGAAAATAATGTGGTATTGGTTTAGAGTCAGATGCAAACCATATCAAGAAGCAGAAACTTTGGTATTGTAAAAAATGTGAAATTGTTTCAGTTTAGTAACTAAGTACAGTAAACCAGTGTTAACATTGCTTATGGGAAAGTCTACCCTTGATGGACTGATAATCAGATGAGAAAAACTGTTCTCTCTGCTCTCTCATCAGACTAATTGCAAACTCAATATCTAGCAGAGGTATCTACTATGTTTATGTTATTTATTTTTTTTAAATATGTATTGGATTTTATTTTGTAAAATTGTATTTTCAAAACATATGTTTTAAATGTTTGGCCTCAAACGTTTTCTTTAGCACTAGAAAATCCATAAGAAAAGACAATGAAATATAGACAGTGTTTTTATAAGGGAATAGATAATTTCATGCTCCTACTTTTCCCCTAGGAAGATTTAAAGAACCTTTTGATATATGAGGGGGTGCCCCTGAAAAAACAGAATTTTGTTTTCAAAGCTATGTTTAATTTTTTTTACAAAACAATCTTATAACCTTCAAAGTACTCTCCATTACATTTAGACATTTGTCACATATGCGACTCCACTCTTGGAAACATTTTTCAAACTCATCTGTTTGGATGGCTGACAGCACCTCCCTCATTTTTTCCTTCACCTCTTCTATGGTGTCAAATCACTGTCTTTTGCTTTGCAGAAACAAAAAGAAGTCAGACAGAATGAGGTCAGGTGGGTAAGGTGCGTGGGGCAAGAGAGACCTGCTGTTTTGTGTCAAAAAACTGAGATGGCTGTGTGACAATGCCTGTGCATTGTCATGGTGACAAAACCAGTCACACGTCTGCCACAAATCAGCCTTTTTTTGGACCACACTGTTATGCAATCTTTTCAGAACCTCTAAATCAGCAGTTCTCAACCTGTGGTTAACGACCCTTTCACAGGAGTCTCCCGATTCATAAGAGTAGCAAAATTACAGTTATGAAGTAGCAACGAAAATAATTTTATGGTTGGGGGTCACCACAACATGAGAAATTCTATTAAAGGATCGCGGCATTAGGTAGGCTGAGAACCACTGCTCTAAATAGAAAGCTTGATTAACAGTCTGACCTGGTGGAATGAACTTCAAATATACTATGAATCAACATTTTTGTTCATACAGGAAGTTTACAGACATACAGAATGAGCTTTCTTATCAATAAGCAGTTCATCTTTTTTGAAATGAGAAAACCACTTGTACACTTGAGTTTTTCCCATAGTACTGTGCTTATAAGCTGTGTTCAACATTACAATAGTTTCTACGGCATTTTTCCTGAGCAGGAAACAAAATTTCACAGCCTCAAGCTGTTCCCTTAAATTGGCCATCACAAAAAACGAGGTTTGAGCAAAACTGCTTTTATGAAAACATTCACTGTGCACAGAGAACCATCCCAGGTGATGCAACCAGGTGCACTACCTCAGAGTGAGTTGCTCCATGAGTTGCTCACCCAGCAGGAAAAGTGTCTACCATGAAAGCTCCACCCAGGGCAGCTGTTTACCTGTTTTGGGGGTACTCCCTCATACCACGCTATGAGTGATAGTTTATTCACTGCCCAGAAGTCAATGTCAACTCCTAGGGACTCAGTTATAGTACAGGGTAGAACTGCCCCTGTGAATTTCCGGGACTGAAACTCTTTGTGAGAGTAGACAGCCCCATTTTTCTCCCCAGGAAAGGCTAGTGATTTCCAATGGCTGAAAATGCAGTTGTCCATCCATTTCATAACCTCTACACCACCAAGCTACCTTAGTCATAGTTTAATTAGTAGTGATTTAAAAGCTCAGATAGAAACTTGAGAAATAATTGCCCTGAAATATAATGTGTCCTACTAGAATCGAACACTCCCAAGGAGCTCTGGTGGTGCAGTGGTGACATATGGGGCTGCTGCAGGCAAGTCAGCAATTTGAAACCACCAGCCCCTCCTCCGGAGAAAGAGAAGGGTTTCTGCTCTTAGACTCACAAACGCACAGTAGGCAGTGGGAGACTGTCCTGCAGGGTCTCCATGAGTCAATATCAGTTAGATGACAGTGCATTTGAGAGTTTTATATAGGAGACTCGTGCTTGAATCATCTATCTTGTTATTTCTTAGCACATAATAGTTTATGCTATGAAATATATATTTGAGGGATTAAAAAAATATCTTTGGATTTAAATGACAGAGCTGCTTTTTAGTTTCTGCCCTCTCTAAACCAAAAATGACATGGTGTAGGTAGACTTTGATAGTTTAACTAATTAAAAACAGGTGGACTATTGGCACACAGAGGACACTAAGAACTGCACCATTCCCAGGTTTGGCAGTCAATGATGATAAGATAACTTACAACAGCAGGTGTTTAAAATGCCATCTATGCAAATACAAAACTACGTGTTGGGCACGGAAAGTGATTTTAGTATATTTTTTCTAAATTCAGAAAATTATCTTCTGTTTAATTATAATCTAAAGGTTATTCTTCTTTCATGAAATTCAACTGATGGTAAAAATAATAACTATTAAAAATAACTATTACCCTTTAATATAAAAATTCACATTCATGTGGTGACATATCTTGATATTATATTAGGAAATCTAATATATTTACATTTCTGAGCTTAAATATTTGTTTCAGAACACACTACAATAAAAAAGCTGTATTTCCCATACATTAGTCAAATATTGAAATGGAATTGGTAAAATAGGGATGTATATGTGCCTAATATTTTTCATAGGCATTCTTAGCCCATAGTATTATATGCTATGAAAAATGAATGTGGTGAAAGATTAAAAAATCTCATTGAGTTAAGAAAAAATGAAATTACTTGAAACCATATGATTTTATGCCATATTTGTTGTTTATGTTTTTATAATAATAGCTTAGTTATAATTTAGTTTGTAATTGTAATTAAAATAAATACATACATATATTGATACAAAGTATTTTATTAGAACATATGAGGATATGTAAAAAGTACTGTTGAAAGTGATAAACACATAGATCTATTTCCCCATCATCATATATAAATATATTTACATATGTACATGCCTGTATTTACACCTCTATAAATGCTCTTTGCCTCCTGGTTCTTTCCTCTATTTCCTTTTACTTTCCTTTTGTCCCTCTATCATGCTCAGCCTTTTTTTGGATTTCAATAACTCCTCTCGGTTACATTGCCCTTGATCAATCCCTACCAGGCCTATTACACTCACCTTGCCACTGATTTTGGATCACTTGTTGTTACCTTGTTGTTGGGTTGGTTAAACCACTTCCTTTCCCCCACCTCTCCCTCTGCCATGTCCCTCTGGAACCATTGGTCCAGTTGTTTTCTCCTCCAGATCTATGTGTATATATTTATAGGTTTAGTATTAAAGTTGTAGATGGACATTGGGCCTCCACTCAAGTACTCCCTCAATGCAAGAACACACTGTTCTGTTAATTTGGCATTCCATGATGCTCATCTTCCTGGCACGATTGAAGACAAAGTGGGTGCATAAACAAATATGGTGAAGAAAATTGATGGTGCTTGGCTATCAAAAGATATAACATCTGGGGTCTTAAGGACTTGGAGGTAAACAAATGGCCATCTAGCTCAGAAGCAACAAATCCCACATGGAAGAAGCACACCAGCCTCTGTGATCATGAGGTGTCAAAGGGATCAGGTATCAGGCACCAAAGAACAAAATATCATGTCATTGTGAATGAGGGAGACTGAAGATTGGGGACCCAAAGCCCATCTGTAGGCAACTGGACATCCCCTTACAGAAGGGTCACGGGGAGGAGATGAGCCAGTCAAGGTGCAGTGTAGCAATGATGAAACATACAACTTTCCTCTAGTTTATAAATGCTCCTCCCCCTCCCCCGACTATCATGATCCCAATTCTACCCTACAAATCCTGCTAGACCAGATGATGTACACTGGCACAGATAGGAACTGGAAACACAGGGAATTCAGAACAGATGATCCTGAGAGTGGTGACACTCAGAGGGTGGAGGGAAAGTGGGGTAGAAAGGGGGAACCAATTACAAGGATCTACATATAACCTCCTCCCTGGAGGATGGACAACAGAAAAGTGGGGAAAGGGAAACATTGGACAATGTAAGCTATGACAAAAATAATAATAATTTACAAATTATCAATGGTTCATGAGGGAAGGGAGGATGGGGAGGGAGGAGTAAAATGAGGAGCTGATACCAAGGGCTTAAGTAGAAAGCAAATGT